AAAGTGTTCAATATCATTAGCCATCAGGGAAATGCAAATTAAAACTATTTTGGAAATTCCACTTCACCTCAGTCAGAATGGCTTATGATCAAGAAAACAATGAAAACAAATGCTGACAAAGAATGGGGAAAAGGAACCACTTACCCACTGTTGGTGAAGTATAAATTGGTGTCACTGCTGTTGCACTGTGGAAATCAGTATGGAGAATTCTCAAAAAGCTAAAGGACTCTATTCTCCTACAGAGATATTTGCACATCCATGTTCACTGCTGCTCTATTCACAATAGCTAGGAAATGGAATCAGCCTAGATGTCCATCAACTGATCAATGGATAAAGAAAATATGGTACATATACAATGGAATTTTATTCAGCTATAAAGAAAAATGAAATGATGAAATTTGCAATTGGTGGAAAAGGAAACTATTATGCTAAGTGAGGTAACCCAGGCCCAGCAAGACAAATGCCACATGTTCTCATATATGGATCTTAGCTTCATATTTTTAGATCTTGATGTTTAATATGGACTATTTGTAGAGTCAGAAACCCAGAAAGAGCCCACAAGAGGGGAAAGGGAAGTGGCTTTAGGAGGAAAGAGGAACACATGTACTATGAAAGTGGCGGTTGGGGGATACTGGGTGTTAAAGGTTTGAGGGACTGGGAAGGGAAGATAAGGACGAGAAGGAGACAGGTCAGTTAAACAAGACTAAGGATGTATGAAAAAGCCCTATGGAAACTATTTTGTATGATAATTAAAATCTGTAATTTAAAAAAAAAAAAGGAATGTGAACATGGGTACCCTGCATAGGTGGACAGTGCTTCCCCCAGAAGACATGAGTTATTAAATGAAAATCTCAGAGCTACCTGTGAGATACCTTTCTGCGAGTTATTGGTCAGGGAGACCCCAGAAACCCCCAAAATAGCACAGACTAATGCCATTTTTCTTGGGTGCCCATAAAAAGTAATAGAATCCTACTGCTGAAGACACAACACATTTAATTACAGGACATACAGAAATCAGGCTGGAAGTGATCTGAAATTTTCCTCCCTGCTGGCTAGCTTTCGTAGCACCAAAAGGGGTTATCTAGGCCACTGGGAAAGAAAAGTCATCAGGTATCACCCAGTGGTGAATCTTGAATGCTACATTATCTTACCTGGCAAGATGCACCCATCTGGTGCAATAATGGTGGTAATCAACTGCTTTATGCTTAGATTTGAGGCCTGCTCCACAGGAAGGAATTCATGCCATGTAAATCTGGTCAAAGGTTTACAGCTTGGGAGGTCATAGGTCCTAGAGGGAAACCTACTACTATTGTTTTGCTGGATGGACATGTTGTCAAACTGTCTTCTAAATACTTATATTTATACCCATAGATTAGTGCTACTCTCAACCTTGGCCAGAGAAGCTTTTTATTATAGTGGGCAGCAGTTAATACAGTAACTTGGAACTGGTCCAAGAGCTGAAAATAAGTGACTGTTGAGTATTCAGCTTTTGATGGCACATTTTTATCAACCCTTCCAAGGCTCAGAGACCATTACAGAGGAGGGGGCAGAAAGAATGAAAGAACCGGAGGATAAGGACAACTGCTGGGAAATGCTGTCTTCTGGACTTATATATGGCTTTTTGTGCTCATGAACTCACTGTAGTTATGGTTGCCTACTTGTAGAAGGTCAAGTCAACAAGATCAGTTAACACTCTTGCAAGGTAGCACTTAATTGGACTCAGTGGGTTGCCAAAAAAAAATTACAGGACATATTATGTAGTGCCCAGAAAGATCCGGAGAAGGGGTTGTACAGGATCAAGATACACTGTATATGTATATGAAACTGTCAAATAAAAGATATTAGAAAGAATTAAAAGCCAATTAAAATTTTAAATTTTTTAAGGCATAAGAGGCTATTTTAAAAAAACAGCTAAAAAGCAGTGTAAACTTAAATCTTACTGTTTTAATGTTAGGAAACACAATAGGTACAAATCATTTTTATACTTAAACATGCAAAGAACATTCTACTTAAGTCTAATTCTCAATTATGGTAGAATCCATATTTCCTATCAGTCAAGATTTTTATGCTTTTTACTTTATCTGTAAGGACTTTTTACTTTATATGTAAGGACAATTGGCACCATTTTTACCAAGAAAAAAACTAAAACTCATGATTAACTTAAAGACCACTAATTTTGGAGGCCAGTGCATCATTAGTCTTCCATTAAGCTTCGCTGTTAGAGTCACTTTTCAAGGATATGAAGGCTACTAGTGCTGAAAACACTGATTCGCCATTGAGCCTACAGGTGTCCAACCTGGAGACTGGCAGAAGACAAAAGATTTTGTCTTCACGTTGTGTCTGTGTCCTTTAAGACTTTAACCTTTGGGTTATATATGAAAACAGACTATTGAAGGAGCAAAAAGAGGTAGCACCCAAGTTCTGGAATGATCTGTGCTTATTAACAAAAAGAAAGTATTTCTTCCTTATCTCTCTTCCTCATTATTCCTGTCCTGTATTTGTAACTCCTCAGCATGCTGGAGTTGAGAGGATAAATTGCAAGTAGAAGCTCCACTTTTCCATTTTTTGGCCAATAAATAAAGCTCTTTTTTCTGTCACTCAATCTCTTGGGAATGTGGCTTGATCAAATGAGAGCAAAATCTAACCCTTTTCTGCTACACTAATAAATAAAATTAGACTCAATTTTCTTTTAAATTTATATTTTGGTTTAAAGATGGTTAATAAAAAAGCAAAGAGAAAATTTTATACTATGGATCTTGCTCATGCCTCGGCATTACTGACATTTATGGTGGAGGATTCTTTGTTTGGAGGAGAGGGGAGTTCTTCTGTTTTATATAGAGTAAGACATTTACCAACAGTTCCTTTGGCTTTCACCCACAAGGTGCCCATAGCACCACTTCCATTCATGACAACCAAAAGTATCTTCTTTCAATGCCTGCTGTCTCCTGAGAGTGGAGGTGTGGAATATAAAAAGCCACTCCAGGTTGATATCCACTTATAAACATACATTATCAATTGAGACAATATTGCTCCCACATGAATGAATGAAAAGTAGGTTTGGGGGAGCAAGGGAAATCTTAGTTATTACAATGGTTCATAGTCCTCCTAAGTCCAACACTACTTGAAAACATATACAGAATATCTATGGAATAATATTAAAATAACTTGTGGGAAAAAGCTCATTAGGAAAAAAGTTAGTAGAAAAGAATTAGTCCAAATATGCTTCTTAGGAGGGAATAATGACAAAAGCCAGCAAGCTTAGTCAAAAGTGAGCTCCAAGTTCAGTAACAGACCCTGTTTCAAAAAAAATAAAGTGGAGGAGCTGGAGAGATGGCTCAGCAGTTAAGAACACTGACTGTTCTTGCAGAAGACCTGGGTTTGAATCCCAGCACCCACATGGCAGCTAACAACTGCCTATAACTGCAGTTCCAGGGGATCCAACAGCCTCTTATGTCTTCTGCAGGCATTGCACAACATGGGTGCATTCACCTACATGTAGGTAATACACACATACACATAAAATAAAAATAATGAATTTAAAAAATATTTTTAATAAAGAGAGCAATAGAGGAAGACACACCCAATGTTCACCTCTTGACTTCCACAAGCACAGACAAACACACACTCATATAACACACACACGTTTTGACAAAATTGGAAGAATCTATTAATAATCTCATTTTAATAATGAGACATGCCCACCCTATGACTTACCACTCTAGCTCAAAGTATATGACCAAAACTAATGATTCAATAAATCTAGAAGACCTGTTTAAGGATTCAAAGTAGTAAAAGACTTGAATAAGAATTCAAAGAAGTTTCATTTTCAGTAGCCAGACACTACAAACAATCCAACTCCTTAACAAAGGAAAACTGAAAAAAAGATGCTATCTTTGTATCTTGAAATACTGCACAGCTTGTAAAAAAACAACCAATAGACTAACACATACAATATGTTGCATATAGGAAACTCAATACATATAATGAAGCACATACTACAGAGTTTAAGAAGAGGCAAATTAATCAATGATGAAAGTCAAAATGATAGCGACCTCTTTCAGACTACTAGTGAATTGACTAAGTAGGGGCCTGAGGGAATTTTCCAGGGTGATGGGAGTCATATTTTGATCTGAGTATTAGTTATATGGATGTGTACAAATTCACAAAACTGTTCATCTAAGATCTTGGGAGATATACATATATATATATATATATACACATACACACACACACTTTACTTTCAAATGTTATAGATCAAAATAAAAGGGAAAGTACAGAAAATTTGCTCTCCATAAAGATGACTCTTGCAGATTTTTGTGAATCAATGTCAACAACGAAGTCTATTTTGTTCATTATTTCAATGCTTAAAAAGTGTCTGGTACATATCAAATATTCCAAATGTTATTTATTTGATTGGAATATTATAATCTTTACTTTCTTCTCCAAATTTCTTGTGGCCAAATACATATAACATAAAATTTGGCATCTTAACTATTTTAGGTGTACAGTTCAATGGAATTCTGTTTTCTATCCATCACTACCACCTATCAATGGAATTCTGTTTTCTACCTATCACTACCATCTATCTCTGTAACTTTTAATCTTGAACTAAAATTCTATATCCACCAAACAATTCCTCTCCACTCTTGCTCTCCTCACAGTCCCTAGTAACTATCATTCTACTTCTGTCTCTATGACTTTAAGTGGATTTATAAGTAAATTTGATGGTCAGATATGTGAAATTATGTTGTTTATCTGTCTTTTTATTACTGACTTTTTACTTAGCATGTCCTAAAAAAATCATCCAATTTGTAGCTTATGTCAGAATTTCTCTCCATGAGTATTTTAAGTGAACAAATTTATTATGAATATACTTTATACATATTCTAAAAATCTGCCTCTTCCTTTCAAATAGGCTCCAAATTCCAAAATCTATAAAATCTAAGGTATAGAAAAGCTAACAGGCAGGTGAAATTATTACAACCAACAATACAGCCTACCTTTTTTGGATCAAGATTCCCAAAAACTGAATTGGCATGGGGGCAAACTTCAGATAATGAGCAACCAATCTTCATAATATCCTTGTTTCTACTGATACTCTAAAAAGAAAACAGAGAAAGTCTAAGATTCAATAAATTATTATTAGACATATATAATTGAGAGTTCTAAGCATATTTAAAGGCTTTCATAGCACTAGAAAAATTTATCAAATTCTTATGTTAGTATTTTTTCATGATTCAAATGAATTATTATAAGACTACAAGCTACAGAAAACGGTTTACTGGCCAGTGAGTTTAAATCACTTAGATTTGGGGCTATAAAGATGGTTCAGTGGGGGCTGCAGAGATTGCTCAGTGGTTAAGAGCACTGACTGTTCCTGCAGAGGACTCGAGTTCAATTCTTAACACGCACATGGCAACTAACAACCACCTGTAATTCCAGTTCCAAGGGATCTGATTCCCTCCCTCTTTTGACTTCCACAGGCATTGTACAACATAGGTGCACTTACACACTCATACACATAAAAAAATAATAATTTAAAAATTAAAAAATAAGGGCCAGGTGTGGTGGTGTATCCCTTTAATCCCAGTACTGGGGAGCAGAGGCAGGTAGATCTCTGTGAGTTCAAGGCCAGCCTGGTCTACATAGTGAGTTCCAGGCCAGCTGGAGCTACAGGGAAACCCTGTCTCAAAAAGCCCAAAAACTAAAAAATAAAAACTACTGAGTGCTGGAAAGATGGCTCAGCAGTTAAGAGCACTGGCTGCTCTTGTAGACGATCCAGATTTGATTTCCAGCACCCACATGGTGGCTAACAACCATCCACAACTCCAGTTCTAGGAGATCCACCACCCTCTTCTGACCTCTGCGGGTACTGCATGACACAGGTACACTTACATACATGCAGGCAATACACTCATACACATAAATTTAAGTATTAAATATTTTTTAGAAAGATGATTCAGTGGTTAAGAGTACTTAACCTCTTGCAGAGGGCCTGGATTCAGTTCCCAGAACACATATGGAGTTTCACAACCATCTGTAACTCCAGTTCCAGGGGATCTAACACTTTCTTCTGGCCTCCAGGACTACCAAGCACACACGTGGTGCACAAACATACAGCAGGCAAAAAACTCATACACATAAAATGAAAGAAAGAAAGAAAGAAAGAAAGAAAGAAAGAAAGAAAGAAAGAAAGAAAGAAAGAAAGAAAGGGGGCGCTAGGCATGGAGGAAAATGCCTTCAATTCCTGCACTCGGGAGGCAGAGGCAGGTGGATCTCTGTGAGTTTGAGGCTAACTTAGTCTACACAGTGAGTTCCAGGCCAGGCAGGACTACATAAGACCCTGTCTAAAAAAATATTAAACCACTTAGAATTCAAATAAAAATACCAACTATTAGTAAATCATACAAAGCGGGTTCCTGAGAGACTGGATGGATGATTCCAGGGTTGGTGGTGACAGAAAATAAAGTACTCAAAAAAAGAATTGAGAGGTTTAAAGGACAAGTAACCAACCTATGTTTTTTGGCCAACTTTTGTCCTAATGGCCAGAGCTGAATAACTTGGGAGGCAAAAAATAGTGACATCAATGAATTACAACCTGTGGAATATCCACAAATCAATATTCACATACACAAATGACTAAATAGTTAAATGGCAGAGAAGAAACAACTCTTCTTTATAGAATAACGATTAATTAATGCAGCAGGAATACAGAGAATTGAAAAATCAACATTAGGGAAGTACAATACCAAGAAGTAGTAAGAAATTTATGAGTGAAGAAATTGAGGAGAAACAATGCTAGTCAATCCAGTGTACCTCTTGCTAAAAACATCAATGACAAAAGGAAAAATATTAACAATGAAAAAAATTTACCATCTCAATCAAATAGATCAAGGCTAGCATAAGAAGACACAGTGATCCCATGAACCCTCAATATGATGCACTCTGACACCATCTCTGAGTATTTCAGCTAATTTATGAGAAATCATCCAAATTAAGGAATACTCTATAAAAATGGCTAGTATTCATCAAAAACATCAAAAGTGAGGAAAATCTGACAAAGTATCAAAGGTTGGAGGAATCTTAAGAATACAATGAGGACTTTTAGAATGGATCCTGGAACAGGAGCTATATTTTATCACTTATAGAGGAAGTTCACTGACTCCCAGTTTAAAATATAGCTCCAAATTTAATAAATAGTTTCACAAGATAGACTGAAATCAAAGTCTAGAAATACATTAACAAACACACAGCCAAGGGGGCTGGAGAGATAGCTCAGTGGATTAAGAGCACTGGCTGCTCTTGCAGAAGACCAGGATTCGAATCCCAGCACCCACATGCCAGCTAACAACCATCTATAACTCCAGTGCCACGGATCCAACACCTTCTTCTGTCCTCTGCAGGACTGCATGACATGGGTGCACTAACATACATGCAGCACAACACTCATACACAAAATAAAAAAATTTTAAAAACCAAATACATAGCCAAAACTCATTTGAAATGTAGCTAGTTTGACTCAATGTGTGTTGTAAGTCTAAAATACACATTGAATTCCAAAGATGTAATATAAAAAAATACAAAACATTTTATTCATATTTTATACTAATTGTGTACATGCTTTCTTCTAAAACTGGAGATGGAATCCAAGGCCCTCACACACACTAGGCAAGTACTCTACAACTAAACTACATTCCCAGTCCCTTTTTATTTTATTGGAGACAGGGTCAAACTCAAGGTCCTCTTGCCTTAGTCCCCCAACTAGTTGATACTACCGATGCATACCACCACACCCAGCTTGCTGATTAGATTTTGAAACAGTATTTTGGATATATTAAGTTAAATAAAAATATTTAAATTATTTTTCCCTATTCCCCTTTCTTTCTTTAGGGCAGCTGTTAACAATATTTTTAAATTAACTAATAGAGCAACAAATGTATTTCTACTGTGACAGCACTGGTCTAGGAATTACCATTTAAGTTAGTACATGATGTTCCTAAATAATGAGCTTATACAAATAATTTGTCAGCCATTATTGAGGCACTGTTGAGTAGCATAGGTGCCCTTAATACACAAAGGACATAGACTCGCAACATGTGTGCTCCTTTTAATAAATAGAGCATAAGGGCTGGAGATGGCTCAGCGGTTAAGAGCACTGACTGCTCTTGCAGAGGACCCAGGTTCGATTCCCACACCCACATGGTGGCTACAAACCGCCCTTAACTCCAGTTCCAGGGGAATCTGAAGCCCTCTTCTGACCTCCACGGCATTGCACAACACAAGTGCACTCACATACATGCAGGCAACACACTCATACACATAAAATAAAGGTAGTATTTTTTAAAAAATAAATAATACGTAAATAGAGCATAAGTAGAGACACAATTTACCACAAATTCTATGACTAACACACTCCTCCAGGTTTTTTTTATAGTTTTTAAGGACTCATGGTTAATCATATTCTTCTATAACTTCTCATGAATTCTGTTCCACACACTGTAAACTTAACCCACCCAAAGCCAGAGGAAATGAAGAGAACTATAATTTTCTTTCCTCCCGTATCATGTACAGTTGACAAAACCAAAAATTCATCAGCAACTGTGTGCATTATAGACATTCACCTTCTTTGGAACCCAAGAATTTTATTGCTTAACTTTGTATTTAAAGTTGAATATACTTACCTAACTTACAGTCTGCCATTAGACATTAGAAATATTTTGGGCTGAGAGACAGCTCAGTGGTTAAGAGCACTGGCTGCTCTTCCAGGGAATCCAGGTTCAGTTCCCAGTACTCACATGGCAGCTAACAACCATCTTTAACTCCAATTTCAGGAAATCTAACACCCTCTGGACCTTGTGGGAAATGCACAACATGGGTGTGCTTACATACATGCAGGCAAAACACTCATATACATAAAATAAAGATAAATTTAAATAACTTCAAATAAGTTAGAACTATTGCACCAGTACTCCAAATTTCAATTCACATTCAACCATTGGGGGGGGGGAAAGGACTAGGTGTTCTTTTTCATCTTCTAGAAGTATCTGGAAGCTTTTCCCTCTATCTTTATTCCTTTACAATCTGCGCCGGCTAATAAGCTAAACACTTTCAAGAAAGTTTGTTGAGCTGGCAGAAAAGCACTCAGAAAGGTCCAGTGTCTGACATACCATCTTAAGCTATCCTACTATACAGCCTCTAACAAAACTAGGCTGTCCCAAATACCTAGCAATAGAACTGTTTACCTTTATACCAAGCAAATTGAAAAAACACCAAGTTTCTGAATGTGACACTTGCTCAGGCAGACTTGGAGAAATTACTGCTGTGAAACCTAAAGTTCTTTTTAAATGTCTAAAATGTTAAAAACAGCAGGAACTATGGTGATCCCATTGTGCTAAATGAGTCTATGAGAGGATTAAGTATGCTTTCTGTATAAAGGAACAAAAAATTACTGTGACTGTGTTAAAGGCACAAAGCTAAACACAGGGTCAGAAAGCTGGGTTTTTATGAATTTTTTTGAGCAATTAAAAAATGACAAATTAAGCCAGCGTGGTGGCACACACCTTTAGTTCCAGCACTCAGGGGGCAGAGGTAGGCGGATCTGTGAGTTCAAGGCCAGCCTGGTCTACATAACGAGTTCCAGGCCAGCTGGGGCTATAGGGAGACCCTGTCTCAAAAAACCAAAACAACAATAAAGACAAATTTAAAAAACTTATTTTTCAAGAAACAATCTTATGGGGCTGGAGAGATGGCTCAGCAGTTAAGAATACCGACTGTTCTTGCAGAAGACCTGGGTTTGAATCCCAGCACCCACATGGCAGCTAACAACTGTCCACAACTCCAGTTCTAGGGGATCCGACAGCCTCTTCTGTCCTCTGCGGGCATTGCACAACACGGGTGCACTTACCTATATTCAGGCAATACACACATATGCATAAAATAAAAATAATAAAATATTTAAAAAGAAAAAAAAGAAACAATCTTATAAAAGACCCCTAGGTGGAGCTGAAACTTCACAAATACAGTAATCTGTAGCCTCTTCAGTTTATGCAATCAAAGGTGACCATATTAAACATAATTTTAAGTCACACTCTTGTTTTCCTGATTGACTGTTGTACTGCAATCGTATTGCTTGCGTTGTAATCGTCTGACTTATAATTCTCCTGTGCTAAGTAATTTAATAAAAATTTAGTATTGAGGAGCTGAGGAGATGGCTCAGTGGTTAGGAGCACTTTCAGCTCTCTCAGAGGACCCAGGATCAGTTCCCAGACACACATGGCAGCTAACAATCACCTGTAACTCCAGTTCTGGGAGATCCAATGCCCTCTTCTAACCTCTTACATTGCATGACACAGGTGCACTTACATACACACAAGCAATACACTCAAATACATAAAATAAATGTTCAAAGAAGTTTAGTACTGAAAATGACAATATATTGTATTTTGTTGAGCAAGACTTAGGTTACAAAAAGGGAGGGAATAAAAGATAAACCATCCAAGCTTCAATTTACCTGGGCCCAAAATGTTACGGCATCTTCTACATGACTTCCAACCACGTCTTCAACTAAAACCAACCACAATGCAAAGAAAATTAGGAATTGACCAATATCATTTAACTCTTACACCCAAAATAATATTTAGTGTCAGTACCTTTGTTGTAATGTGTATCTTCATCCATTTGGACAGTTCCTGAAAAACTAACAATTCAACACCTTGAATTAGGCTTTAATAATCCATCTATTAACAATGAATAAAGACTAAAGCATATAATGTTCATATTCTTATGTCTGTTCTATAAAATTATCAAATTCAGCTGGGCATGGTGGCGCTGGCCTTAAATCCCAGCACTCTGGAGGCAGAGGCAGGCAAATCTCTCTGAGTTCAAGTCCAGCCTGGTCTACATAGTGAGTTCCAGGACAGCTGGGGCTACCGGGAGACCATCTCAAAAAGACCAAAAAAAAAAAAAAATTATCAAATTCAAACTCTTAAAAATTATCTCACATGCCTTTTTTCCATAATTCTTTTATTTTTTCTGAATATATTTGTAGTTTGCAATTTCAAAATATATAATCTGTCCCTAACTTTATCCAAACTTTGTTTTACACATAATTCATACCCCTTTTGATCACTTACATAATAAGCCAGTATTTTGAAACAATGTGTGTGTGTTTTTTTTATGTCTATGAGTGTATTGCCTGCATGGATTTAAGTGGCACCCATGTTGTGCAGTGCCTGAGAAGGCCAGAGGAGGCCGTCAGATTTCCTGGAACTGGAGTTACAGATGGTTGTTAGCCACCATGTGGATGCTGGGAATGGAACCTGGATCCTCTGCCCTCAAGAGCTCTTAACCACTGAACCATTTCTCCAGCCCCATCATTCATAAATCTTAAAAAAATATAAATATGTAACGTTTTATCAGCATTCAGTTCCAAATAATTTTCTTTCCCCCCCCCCACTAAAATATCTAGAAGGTGTCTATCAATAATCTGAGTGAATTTGACATTAGCTGATACACTTTTCTTTTTCTCTACCTCTGCCCACCAACGCTAGTTTTAGTGGGGGTTTATTTGGAGGTTTTGGTTTTGGGGTTTGTCCTTGAATTTTACCTCAAATAGTCTATACATTACAACACACACATGACTAAACCCGATCCACTTTTTGTAAATGTGGATTACCAAACAGCGAGTCTAAGCCGCCCTCCCCTTCGACAAGACGCGGGCAGCTGGCGGAACCCGTTCACTCGTCTCTACCATGATTTTAAAGGTTACAAGACAGAGTCCGCTGAAACCGGACGCTTCCACCCATCGGACCTCACAGAGAGCTCGCGGCGCCGGTCTGCTGAGCCGCGGCCGGGCAGCCTTCGCGGAAGGCCTGGAAACACGCCTCACCTCATTCTGGCACACACACCCCCCCCCCCGCAGCCAGCGAGGCCAACCCCGCCACCAGGACTAAACTGACCTCGCACTTTCCGACTCGGACCCGCTACCGAAGAGCCGCTGGCCCCACATCCCAGTCCCACTGCCAGCAGCCCACCACAGGCCGGACTTCCACCGCAACGCCCACGTGCCGACGCTTATGCTTACCGCACGTGCTTCGGGGGCCTCAGGACCGGCACTGCGCTTGCGTGAGCGTGAGCGTTTCTGCGCCAGGACGGTGCAGCTGGGTCACGTGGCACCCGAGCTTCTAGGGCCGCGACGCCCCCGCCACCTGCCACCTGTACTCGGCGACGCCCCCACCACCTGCACTCGGCAAGCAGCACCCAGGGTTGCACGCTGAGCATTAATAAGACCGAGCCTGCGCACCTGCTGGCCAATGGTTCTTTTTACCCAACGTCACGACGTCACGACGTAAGACCTCTATGTGGCATTGCGTGGGTCTTCCTAATGTGTGCGTGGAGATTTTAATTTCACAAAGCTTTAAAATTGGGAGAAGCTGAACGTTCTTTTCCAAAGGAGAAAGGAGAAAACGCGCTAAGTGAGAATGACTTTTTTCAGAGCAATAACTTTGCACGCCTTTCTCTGCGAAAGCTTAACCCCCACATTGTTTAACATTGCATGAAGAATGGGGGAGACGGGAGTTGTTTCATTGTTTCCCGTGGCATTAAGGGAGGCAAGGAATTAGTGTACCTTAGTCATAGGATTGCATGCAAGTATTAGACTTGGAGCAAACATTGCACAACTGAAATCTATCTCCAATTAAATTTGATGTTTTGCAAGGCTAGCGGAGTAAACCTAGGACCTCCTGCAAGCAATCACGCTAGCAAGGTCTGCCGCAGAGCTACCTCGGAGCCCTCCAATTAATTTCTAACAGGTTGACCTATAGTGTGCATAAACCCCATATATTTAAAAATGCACGCAGTGTTGACATTTTTATACACCATTGGAATCAACTCCACAAATAAAACATCTCCATTGTTCTCAGAAATTATTTTCATCTTCTGAAAGTTATGGGATCATAGAATGCCCATTTTATCTGGCTTCTTTCAAATGCCATGATTCTTTTAACATAATTTCATCTCTTTGTGTATCAATAGTTTCTTGCTTTTTACAGTCTTTCTATAATTTTGTGGACATTTGGGTTGTTTTCACTTTGAAGTTATTTCCAAGAAAGCTCCAGTGGTGTCCAAGTCTTTCTGTGGACATTTGCTTTCATTTATCTTGGGTTAATTGATGTCTGATAGTGGAATGACTAGCTAATAAACTGTGCATGTAAGAAGCTGCTAGGCTCTTTTACAAAGTAGTTATACTAATTTATATCACCACGAGAAATGTTTAAGAATTCTACTTGCTCCATATCCTCATCATCACTTGATACCATCAATGTTTTTAAGTTCAAATATTTATGTATAGTAGGGAACAACCTTGGGCTTATTTGCATTTATCTATTAAAATATCAAGTATTTTTCTGTATGATTATTTTTCACATATATCTCCTTAGGTGAAGTATTTATATCCCATTTTTTCATTTTTTTAAAGATTTTATTTTTAAAAACTTGTTTATGTATATGAGTGTTATGCCTGCATGTATGTAAGTGCACCTGTGTTGTGCAATACTCTGGGAGGACAGAAGAGGGTGTCAGAGTTACAGATGGTGGCTAGCCACCTTGTGAGTGCTGTGATTTGAAACCGGATCTTCTGCAAGAGTAGCCAGTGCTCTTAACCACTGAGCCATCTCTCCAGCCCAGATTTCACTTATTTTTTATGAGTATTTGTAAGTATGTTAAGTGCACCACATGCATGCCTGGTGTTTGCGGAGGCCAGAAGAGGGCACTGGATCCCCTGGAACGGGACAGGTTAAGGATGGGTGTTAGCCTGCTATATCGGTGCTGAGAACTGAACCCACAGGGCTGATCCAGGAGCTGGATCTCTCTCTCTCTCGCTCTTGCTCTCCCTCCCTCTCTCCCTCTCTCCCCCTCTCCCTCTCCCTCCTCCTCTCCCTCCCTCCCTCTCTCCCTCCCTCTCTCCCTCCCTCTCTCTCCCTCCCTCTCTCTCTCTCCTCTCTCCTCTCTTCATTTAAAACTTTATTAATGGATAGCCTGGTTTAGTTGACTTACTATCATATAACAATATCTTTGATTCACATTTCATTAGGAAGCACGTTAAGATGCCAGTTCCTGCTGAGGATGTTGGTTGACTGGATGATTAACACAAAGCAAGTTCATCCTGAATTTCTAGGAGCCAGAAAAAGAAAATAACCCAACCTACTTCTGTAATTATGTAACTTTTTTTTTCTTTTTTTCTGTTTTCTTTCCAAGACTGTGATTTTTCTCTAGAAGTTCAATTTGGTGATTTACATTTTCTGTGGGACACAGGGCTGTATGGTACGAGGCTGTAGAAGATAGAAAAATCATGGATGACCTCTTGGTGCCTGGGAATGGGAAAGGCCCAACATCAAGGCCTAGGTGCCCAGGACCACGTGGGGAGTTAAGACCACAGCTGGCCATCAAGGGAGGTGGGAAGACCATTCTTGAGAATTAATCCTCCCAAGATTAGAATCTGCAAATGACAGAAACCTCTCCTGTCCCCAAGCAAAGCCACTGCCATGCACATGCTGGGACCTCAGGGGAGGGACTTGTGGGGACTTCAGCCACTCAGAGAAGGCTGAAACTGCTGCTTAGCATGGGGAACTCCTCCATCCTCCCATCTGCTCCACCATCAGCCCACCACCAGAGGAATATGGAACCATGGTTCACAGTTGGGGACCACAGCTACACACTCCCAGGAAGAGAGCACAGCTCCGGGTCTACAGGAGGGAACCATAGCCCCAACTCATGGGAGGGACCACAACTCCAGATTCTAGGTTTATTTCTCTTTACAAGACCAGGTCTCACATAGCCCAGGATGGCTTCAAACTCACTGTGTAGCCAAGGATGACTGTGAACTTCTCATCCTCCTGCTTCCAACCTCCCGACTGCTGAGATTACAGGCCCAATTTTATATAGTGCTTGGGATCAAACCCAGGCTTCATGCATGCTAAGCAAGCACTCTACCAAATGAGCTACATTCTCAGTCCTGATTAGACTTTTTATCATTGACTTTGATAATTCTTTACATACTGTAAATATAACTCCTTCAGATTTGCAAATATTTTCTCCCAGGCTATAGCTATTTTTTTATTCTCTAACAAGAGTAATTCAAAGAGCAAGGGGCTGGAGAGATGGCTCAGTGGTTAAGAACACTTACCATTCTTGCCAAGGACAGGAGTTTGGTTCCCAGCACCCACATCTGGTGGTCCACAACTGCCTGTAACTCCAGCTCCAGGAGATCTGACATCCTATTCTGGCCTCTGCAGGCACTGCATTCACATGCACACCTCACCTCACATAAAATTAAAAATATAGTCTTTAAAAAACAAAGAGCAGAGCTGGAGAGATGGCTCAGCAGTTAAGAACACTGGTTGTTCTTGCAGAAGACCCTGGTTCTAATCCCAGAGCCCATATGGCAGCTAACAACTGTAACTCCAGTCCCAGGGGATCCAACAGCCTCTTCTGTCCTCCACGGGCATTGCATGACACGGGTGCACTTACCTACATGCAGGCAATACATTGATACACATAAAATAAAAATATTTTTTTTTAAAAAGAGCAAAAGTATAGCCCCATTTGGGGCTATGCATAATATGAGTAAGGCCCTGGGTCAAATCCCCAGCACCAAAAAATATAATAAAAAGTTGTTAATTTTTTTAAAGGAC